ATAGCAATAAATAAAAAAAAAATATATGAATGAATGAATGAAAAAGTAATTCCCGTATAATAAATGAAGAAAAGACCGACAACGGAATTAATTATCACAAAAAGTGTGATAAAATAAAGGAGCGAAGTGGAAATTAAGGAAAGGTTGTGCGGTTGCAAAGACAGAGACTCATCAATGGTGCAAATGCTACCACATATCCTATCTCACTGGAGTGAGATATACACATTCTCTTCCTTTAATAATTTGTATTTATTTCATCACCATTGCTTACCCAACCCACCTACATCTTTTTATTTAATTACCTAATCTCAATATAATTAAGAAAATTCACAAATCAATGTATCATATCATGACTCTGTCAAATTTATTAATTTGTACGGAAGCTTTATGGATAATTTGCGTATTCCATTCAATTTGTTAGAACAAGTCTAGATCTAGTGTATGGTCCAGAAGATGGAAATTTTATTTGAGAGACCATTTCACGTCATCCACTCTCAATTACATAAAATCAATTTTATTTTGCATTATTGTTTAAAGATAAAGCGGATTTTGATGTTTGTGGCTACCGCCAAACGCTGACGTGGTCAAACCATTATTACTCTATACACAAATATCTATTTATTTTAATTATATTTTTGAATTCTGCCAATTGATATTAGTAAATCACGCCCTTAATTTCATCAATTATTCAATTCTTCCTTAATTTGTGTAAAAAAAGGGCAGATATAATCTCTGTATCTCTTTTGTTTCACTCACATTCGGCATTGGGCTTTTTAAACATTAGTAAATTACACATGGGCCTGTTTAAATTACAACACAAGATCAACCGGAGTAATGGACCGTGTTGTATCATCTAACTTAAGCAAACGGGAGGAGATATGATAGTATGTGGACCGTCTGATCTGAGCTATGCTCACGAAATAAGAAATGTTGTGATGAATCTGATCTCTCCATCAACCATTGATTGGTAGGTAGGGCCCATTCTACATGATAAGCTGCTCTCACATGGGTACGGTATCTGCTATGAATAATAAAAAGTAAAATTTCTTTTCATAGAATTATTGAAATATATGTATTTTCGAAACAAAGAACAAAATATAAAATATGAGATGCCAAAAATGTAAGTCATGACATGATAAAGGTCCCGTGGACCCGTGACAGTTGACAAATATGAGCGCATTGGACATTCGTCAATGCCAATACCACTGTCATCGGCCTCCGTGTCCCTACACCGCTGACTCATCTTTTCACGATCAATCAAGTCAACGTTTTTAAATTTCAATTTTCCACTTGCCAAACTAATATTATTAATAAAATTCACAATTTTTATTTGAAAAATTGGTGAAACCACATACGCTACCTAAATTTCCCCACAAGGGAAACGTAACGGTGGACGGTGAAGTGGCCAATGTTTTTGGCAGTTTTCACGGAACGGAACGAAGCGTTTGACTTTAAAGTAACTCGTAACTGGCCATAGATAAGACAAAACGAGGGAGAGCGAAAGATAGAAAGACCCAACGAACCCTCACGCGCTATATCACACACTCGTAATGACAATAAATTGGACTGGGACCGTTACCTTCCACATTCGAGACTCACTAATGGTGTATGTGGTCTAACAAGAAAGCTACAGTTCACTGGAAAGCGCGTGAGTTGCCAATATCAAGGAGGCTCTTGATTTAATTGAGTATATATATATATATATATATATAAAAAAAAAAAAAAGGTAAAATAAGGGGATAAATGGAAGCAAGTGTGCAAGACTGGCATGAACGTAGTAAATGGGGATAGCCATGCAGAGTCTGTGCGTGCTCAGAAACATTTAATGGGGAAAAGGAAGACTTATGAGAGTTGGTGTGGGCAAGTTCAAGGATAGAGATGACTTTGCTTCGCCTCAACCGGAACCTCAATTCCTTCACCACATCACATTACTGTCACACAAAAACCCTAGTTTTCTTGAAGGAAACACATCACCATACAAACCCTAGTTGCTTCCTCCCTTACTAGTGGCAATTTGGAGTCATTTTTTTGTATTAATCAACATGGCTTTGTTTACTCAATCAATCTCTATAAAAATTGATAAATATTTTAGAGAGAATAATATTACGAGTAAAATAAAATGTCAGCCCAAGTACGAGAAAGAAACAAAGTAATACCTCATTAATTGTAAATGAGCTGTTTGAAGTTATCGTAGTGATGAGATGACGAAATATAGCATATGCAATTCATATGCTTTTTCTTGAAATTGCAATGTTCATTCATGGTCACAAAACTAAAACAAAATAAAATATGCTTGTTTCTGATGCTATTCCGTATTTCGTTGTTATGATAGTGTGTAATTGATTGAAAGTATCTTAACTTAAAAGTATAAAAATGAAAAAAAGAAAAGAAAAGAAACTTCTTCTCCAGCTCATGCTTCATTGTTTCAACATTCCTTAAACAGATAGATGTAAAATTGGGTCTAGCTCAAACATGAAATGGGTCAATGAAGGATTAATTATAATCTTTTCTGCAAAATTCAATGTCGTTATTGGGATGTGCCATTAAGTAGCGCGGCAGCCCAATGTTATACGTATGTATTTATTTCCTATCACCTTCTCCACACTAATAAATGCATTACATTTGGAACAATATTTATGATTATGGCTTATTCTTCAAATTTGTTTCCTTCTCTATAATTGACATTGATGTTCTTACTTGACAGACCAAAATTTATATCATAATCAACATTAAAGATGTATACTCTCTAGTTCATTTAATTCACGAAATAAGTTTTAATTTAGTTGCATTTTATCTTTTAACGATGCTTTAAAGTGATCAGGATACCTGCAATTGTATTACATTCAGACAATAACGTACAACAAAAGAACCTGATAAGCATTTCCTAATTTCACTTTTACATTTCATAGCAAAATGACGTGATATTTTTATCTTCGTTTGCTAATTCAATGGGGATTAAGGTCATCTTCCTACAAACAACGGGGAAGGAAGCAACTAAACTCTCTTTACAATGGTGTGAATCCACGATTATGTTTGAATCAAAATGATGGGATTTGGAGTCCTTTCTATGGTGAGACATGACTATATTTGTCACATAATGAGGAAATTATAATAAGTTTGGTGGAATACTTTTATGATATGATACTTTTTGAAAAGATGTGTCAAGCAATTTCTTATGAAAGAATTATAATAAGAAAAAAAACATATTTTACTGGGTTTAAGAAGATCATGAGCTTCCTCAATTAATTTCGCCCGTGGTCAACAGTAGTAAATGTTATTTTAAATGTTTTGTTTTTAATGAAAGAGAACAACAAATAAATATTAGCTGAAATCACTTAGGAGATCAATATAAGAATCAAAAATTTATTGCTCATGATCAGTGAAAAGTCGTTTCATAAAGTTGAATATATATATATGTACGTATTTTAATGGTACTGTATATTAATTATTAGTAGTGAATTACTATTCAATTGAAGAGAGAGCTTTTTTATACGATGATGTAAGAAATATTAGAATAGGTTCAATATAAACTGTTTTAATGAATGTTCTCCGTCTGATAAGCATAATTATCATTCACCAAATTTACCAAATATATCTTTTTCAAAATGTAATCCAGCTATTATCTACTGAAAAAGAAAGAGCATAAACGTTGCTAATAAATAAAGAAAAATTCATAATCTAACATTTGTGTCAACAAATATACATATTATAGAGATAAGAGTAATTAAATTCACTATAAATTTCTGTATGGGGCTATAAATTTCACAATTTAATTACCAAAAAATTAGGCATCAAAAGATTCTTAGCATTTTTCATTACCAAAGAAGTTGTCAATTAAACCATCACAGGAGTGAAACTATTTAAAAAAGAAAAAAGTGTGAGAGAGAAAACTGAATAGAGGATTGACTCAAAAATGTCTTGTATTCAACCATATCATAAACGACAGTGAAGGATGAAAGTTTTTTTACAGTATAAAATTTGAGATTTAGACCTTATAATAGTTTTCAACAACAAGAATTTTGAGTGACTTAAACTAAAATAGTTTTGGAACTAGGAAGTTACGGAGATTAATTGAAAACAGTATCATAAAACAAAAACTAATTAGTGATGCACTGGGCAACTATATTATGAAGACACGCGAAAACTAAAGAATAGCATAAATTTAAATGCATTAAAAAAAAATAAGATGGGAAGCACAAGAATTATTCGAAAGGGGGATTTATATATAAGGGAATAATTAAGTTTCATTTATCAGATAAATATATTAATTGATTTGAAAAAAAAAAAAAAACTAAAAGAAAAAAAGAAAAGGAAAGATTGAGACCAGGGTACGTACATGTTTTTCACCGAGCGTTTAATTAATAATTGAGCAATTAGTTGATTTCTTATATATTTATCATGCATTTCTTAATATCTTATTTTGATACTCTCATTAAAAGAATGTAAGATTCATATCTCCAGAATAATACAGTCCACGAAAAGAATAAAAACATTAGACACTTGAAATTAATATCGATAGATCATAAATTACTGCATGCATTATTTTTTAGATTATAATATTTCCAACAATAAAAGGAATTAATAAGATCAAATACCTTGACTTGTATAATTATTCAAAATAATCCACAAGAAAATTTTCATAGCCACCAAACAGGAGAGTAAAATCCCCCACACATTTGCCTTCAAATAATTGAAATCATAATCTGAAAAGAAATGATTAAGCATATATAATGTAGTAGTAGAAAGTGAAGATTAGAATTAACAAAAGTTGAAGGTAGAAATGGAATGGTGACATTATAGAGTTTGGTAGCCGTCATTCGTTGCACCATACACTTTCCTAGGGGAAAATTAAACATCAAATGCTATCTATCTCTCTCCCCTCATAGCAATTACACCTCTCCGGTCTCCACCATTAAATGCTATTGCACCCTCTCAATACGCTCTGCAATAACTCCTCGCTGCCACATTTTTCTCCATCCGTTCCCCTCTTTCTTCTTTCTTTTATCCACTTTCGCCATTGAACTCTCTCTCTCTCTTAATTCGATTCTCCATCTTCTTCTTTTCATTCTTCGTGTTATTCTCTACATTGCTTGCCCCTATTTTTCTCTCTCAATATCCCAAACATATTCCTTACTGTAACAGCTCACATCAAAACCACCACAAACAACCACTTTCGGAGCCTTACCAGTTGGTTTTCCATTATCAAAGGGGATGGAAAACAGATCTAAACCCTTATCATTTTTGGGGCATTTTTAGGGCTTTTTAGGGGGTTGTTCGGTTTAGGGCAAAATCTTTGTGTAAGCAAGTTTTTGGATACTCTTTCGCTCTTCTTTAATTTTAGCATTTTTTAGGATCAGTGGTTTTGCAAATTCATATCTATATGAGATAAAGTGTTCTCATTTTGTTCTGATCCTCTCTCTCTCTCTCTCTCTCTTTTACGTTTTTATTTTCTTGATGCAGATAAAGCCAAAGAAAGAAAAGGAATGAAAATAAGGTGGTTTTGAGATAGACAGAGAAGGCATAGTTGGATCTTCCGTGATCTTCGTTGTGCGTTATTTGGGTTTAAACCTGATTTTTGTCTGTGAAGGGGCGTCTTAAATTTGTCAACTCAATCTTTCTACTAATATTCTGTTTCTCGTGCATTGGCACGTAAGAATCAGATAGGTTCAAGCAACTAGAGTGAGAAAAAGAGAGACTCTTTTCAACGGCTAAGAGAAATTATAAGTCAGCTCTCTTTGTTTTTTTCCATGTAATAACCTAATTGGTTTGCACAGACATCTGCAAGGAATCTAACAATACTTATTTTCCCTAATTACTATATTAAACCCCCAAACCAAACATCACTAGATACAGTGGAAACAAGAGTGGGGAAGCCATATACAATATAGGGTTTCTGGGTCTGAAAATATGCCAACCGGAGTTATGATCCCGGCAAGAAACGTGCCGTCAATGATCGGTAGGAACGGTAATGTTGTTGGTGGACTTGAATCATCATCAGGACTTTCCCTCGGTCAGGTCAGGACTTGAGCTTTCTTTCCTTTGCTCTTTGAATCTATGGTTTGGATGAGTTTTTTCTTCTTCTTCTAGTCTTTCTCATGTTTAATTCCTCGATTTTTCTGCTTGCTTTCTTCATTTTCAGTGAATGCCATGGGTTACAAGATTTTTGAGTTTGGATTCGTTTTATCATTTCTTCTCACTATTCAAATTAACTACGGATCTTTTGTTCATCTTCTACTTTTAAAAAAAATTTATTATATTGGTGATCTGCTCTTAGTGGAACTAATTTGCCATTTCAAGCAAAATCCATCTCGAAATTTGCGAAACCGCGTAAAGTCTTTTGCTCTGCACACACGGATAGAAACGTTAATTTGGGACCTTCGTTTTTTATTTAAACAAATAGAATCTTAACATGCTCTTAAGTCTTATTCTTGACTTAACCAAGTCGATCGTTTATTTTTTTAATAAACTAATGTCAGATAGGGTAATTTATCTGTCTTCTTGCCTACCATTTTAATCCTGGCAACCTTCTTCTCTTATATTCACTCTCTCTCCTACATATTTATGTGCTGCGACATGCGTTTGCATTTTTTTTTTTTCAGTGGAATTTTCCATTGTGTTGTTAGATTGAAAAACCATAAGCTTCGGAATCTTAAAGATCTGTAGAAATGTTCCAGCCAAACATGATGGAAGGTCAGCTTCACCCTTTAGACATGACCCAAAACACATCAGAAAGCGATATTGCGGCTCGTTTAAGAGATGACGAATTTGAAAGTACTAAATCTGGTAGCGAAAATCAAGAAGGTGCCTCCGGTGATGATCAAGAACCACGTCCAAAGAAGAAGAGATACCACCGTCATACTCAGCATCAGATCCAAGAAATGGAAGCGTAAGCTCAATGTTCAGTGGTTTCTTTGTTCAATTTTGATTATTTATAATATATATATTTTTTTTTGACAAAAGAATTTTTTTTGTGTTTTTTCTATTAGTTTCTTCAAAGAGTGTCCGCACCCAGATGACAAACAAAGGAAGGAACTGAGTCGTGAACTAGGGCTAGAACCTTTGCAAGTCAAATTTTGGTTCCAAAACAAGCGCACTCAAATGAAGGTATATAACGCTTTTTTATAACTTTGGCATGTTCTTACAAATATAATTACTTGATTCATTATTTTAATGGATTTATTTTCTGATCTTTGTTTTACATGAAAAGGGCCGTTACAATATGCTTTGTCTTCTCTAATGAAAAATTTTGGTGTTCATATCATTGTTAGTCAACGACTCAACTCTCCTTAGTTTGTTTCCGTGACTAATTTATTTTGTATATATTGTTGAACAGACCCAGCATGAGCGCCACGAAAACACACAGCTTCGTACTGAGAACGAAAAGCTTAGGGCTGACAACATGAGGTACAGAGAAGCTCTTAGCAATGCCTCATGTCCCAACTGTGGTGGTCCTACCGCTATAGGAGAAATGTCTTTTGATGAACATCATCTAAGACTTGAAAATGCTAGACTTAGAGAAGAGGTATTAGAAGTAGAAGCCTGGTGATTGCTAATGTCTTTTGTCCTCACAATTTTCTTGAACGGCGATTTTTTTATATTTTGTCAATTCATATTCAGATTGATCGCATCTCAGCGATTGCGGCCAAGTATGTTGGCAAGCCTGTGGTGAACTATCCACTTCTTTCTTCTCCGGTACCCTCTCGTCCACTTGACCTTGGTGTAGGAAATTTTGGTGGGCAACCAGGCATTGGAGGAGAGATGTATGGGGCCGCAGACCTCCTTAGGTCCATTAGCACCCCAACTGAGGCAGATAAGCCGATGATAATTGAGCTGGCAGTTGCAGCAATGGAGGAACTAATCAGAATGGCTCAGATGGGTGAACCCCTATGGATGAGTAGCATTGATGGAACCACAACTGTGCTAAACGAAGATGAATATATAAGGACATTTCCTCGGGGAATTGGTCCTAAACCAACTGGATTCAAATGTGAGGCATCTCGAGAAACTGCGGTTGTTATCATGAACCACATTAGTCTTGTTGAAATTCTGATGGATGTGGTAGGCTTAATTTCTTCCATGATACCAATTTTGGGGTTTCTATAATTTTTTACTGTCTAGTATCATGGGAACTAACTTGTGATAGATTTTTTTTTTTTTTTCCTGTAAATTTTAGAATCAGTGGTCGACTGTATTCTCTGGCATTGTCTCCAGAGCTATGACTCTGGAAGTACTATCAACAGGTGTAGCAGGGAACTACAATGGAGCCTTGCAAGTGGTATAATACTGGATTTCAATTCCCTTTTCGCACGTACTAATTTCTTTGGTTTCTTGATATTATTTTAACAAAATCTTCTTGATATCCATGCTTTTAGTTTATTTTAATTCTTATGAAAATCAAGAGATGTCTTGAATTAACTAGTAGCAAATCCTAAATGCTTTATTTAAAGATGGAGCTCAAAGGCAAAAGGAAACTAAATCATAAAAGATAATTTAGAATGCAATTCTGTATATAGGCTTTAATATCTTTCTTTCTGAATAAATATGCATGATTCTTATTATTAATTGTTGAATATTGTGCGATTTTCCAGATGACATCAGAGTTTCAAGTTCCTTCACCACTTGTTCCAACTCGTGAGAGTTATTATGTAAGGTACTGCAAACAACATGGAGAAGGGACCTGGGCAGTAGTTGATGTTTCCTTGGACAATTTGCGCCCTAGCCCAGCAGTTAGATGCCGAAGAAGGCCATCTGGATGTTTGATTCAGGAAATGCCTAATGGATACTCCAAGGTAAATCCTTTTAAGTTGATTAGTTGAAACTAACTATAATTTAAAATGATAAGTAGTCATTACTTAATTTCTACTTTCTAATTTCATATTGTGTATTAGGTGACATGGGTTGAGCATGTTGAGGTTGATGATAGAGGTGTACATAATCTGTACAAGCAGCTAGTCAGCTCTGGTAACGCATTTGGCGCAAAACGTTGGGTTGCTACCCTTGATCGACAGTGTGAACGCCTTGCAAGTGTCCTGGCAACAAATATTCCTACGGGTGAAGTTGGAGGTAATGCAACATATCTTCTTTATATCTATCTTTTGACCATGAGGAGTTTGTTTAGAAATTTTGACATAATGAAAGACAATTACTGAAATTTATTAAACTTTAACTAGTGATTACGAATCAAGATGGACGAAAGAGTATGCTGAAGCTGGCTGAAAGAATGGTGATTAGTTTCTGTGCTGGAGTGAGTGCCTCCACAGCTCATACTTGGACGACATTATCAGGAACTGGAGCTGATGATGTAAGGGTTATGACCAGAAAGAGTGTAGATGATCCAGGCAGACCCCCTGGTATTGTGCTTAGTGCTGCAACTTCTTTCTGGCTTCCCGTTCCACCAAAAAGAGTTTTCGATTTCCTTCGTGATGAGAACACTCGAAATGAGGTATATTAAGTATTTAAAAACCTTATAGACTTAGATATCCGAAAATTTTAACAGAGAATGAATACTAATTACAATTACTACTAAAATAACTAAGGTGAATTGATTTTTTGTTTTTTCTTGAAATTTACTTTTGCTAATTTTGAGAGGTTTTCGTTAGTTGTATGCACAGCTGATTAATAATTTATTTTATTTTATCCCTCTATTTGATACTATGACCTATAAATAGAAACTCTATTATTAACTAATAATTGGTAGCATATATTTTATATTTGTTATCTGGGTTCAACATAAGTTTGCATTGCATGTAGATGGTTGGGTATGTTTTATTATGATCAAAGCTAAACCATGATTTAAAAGACCATAAGTCAATGCATATAACATTTTTTTTTTTTTTTTTTAAATACTGGATTTGAATTGTAAAGTGTGATTATATTGGAATATTTAATAGCTTAGTAATTGGAGTTAGTCATATACAGGAGTCTTGTACTCAAGTCGCGGGAGATGCAATTATTGCATTTACCCAAAATAGAAAACTGTAAAGTTAAAAATGTGTGATGGTTTGAAAAATGATCAGCATATTATATTCTAGATTTTTTTTATCTAAATTAGTTTTCATAATTGCAGTGGGATATTCTTTCAAATGGTGGAGTCGTCCAAGAGATGGCACATATTGCAAATGGTCGGGATACAGGCAATTGCGTGTCTTTACTGCGAGTGAATGTAAGTGAAAAATGAGGTGCATTATTATTATTATTATTTTTTAATTCAGTTCTTTCTCCTTTAATAAGGAGTGAATGTAGTTAAGTGTTGGTAAATTTACTAATAATTCTTAAGAAATGTTGTTGTAGAGCGCAAATTCAAGCCAGAGCAACATGCTGATTTTACAAGAGAGTTGCACTGATCAGACAGCATCTTTCGTTATTTATGCGCCTGTTGATATTGTTGCAATGAATGTAGTACTAAATGGGGGAGACCCTGATTATGTTGCCCTTTTACCTTCCGGATTTGCGATTCTTCCTGATGGAACTACAGTTCATGGAGGAGGCATTGGTGAAACTGCATCTGGTGGATCTCTACTAACTGTTGCATTTCAGATTTTAGTTGATTCTGTTCCAACAGCAAAACTGTCCCTTGGATCTGTTGCTACTGTAAACAATTTGATTGCATGCACGGTTGAGAGAATAAAGGCTTCTTTGTCATGCGAGAATGCATGAACCTCAAAGCGGTAACTTCTTTATTTTCCGATTCCATCAACGTGATTTCATTAAGAATACTGTTTAATGTTCTTGGCATACTGATAACTTATTTGTTACCGTTGCAGTTATCAAAAGAAGAAGGAAAAAAGGAGAAAAATATATGAAGAAGAACAAATAGGTGGTGGGAAATTTCGGCTTGAAAAATATGGAGAGAAGTCAAGAGCGCACCTTACATGATCCTTTTTTGGTGATTTGAAGTTTGTTTAAGAACACATTGCAAGCAAACAAAGGATTAGAGGTTCGGGTATTGACTTCCTCAAAACAAGATTAAAAACAAAAAGAACATTAAGACCTTGTTAAAAAAAGGGTTGGATCTCCCTCACCTTCTTATAATTGGTTTTTGTTGTTAGGGGTTTTGGGATAATTTTGTTTAGTTGCTTAGTTATCTTGTTTTTTCCTTCTTCTCTTGTTGTATGTGTGTTTTCGAAGCACTAGTAGGTGGAAAAGCTCTCACCTGCTAACAGACGTTTGCTTCCTTTTCTTTTTCCATTTCAAGAGCTGTTGAAATAGACACAGACTGCTAGTCTTTTCTTTTTGTGTTTAATTATTTTTTGTGCTAATTTTGTCTTTTTCAAAGGTTTCTTTGTTCTATAATGTTAATTGGATAATGTGGTCACTGAGGCCAACTGGCCGGCGGATTCATCTCCGCTGCTCACTGACCAACTCCAATCTGATTGATCGATCTTAAATAACAAAACTGACTAAGAAATCCAATAGAAATCCAGAATATGCTTTCCGATTCAACAGTAAATAGAGAGCAAACTCGATCCAAATTATTGAGACTTTTGAAGAGGGGATGTCGATGAGTGTTTTGGTGATCGCAGGTTGAATTTTTATGGTTGGGATTGGTTAAAATTTGACTTAGAAGATGCGACTGCGCATTCGATAAGTCGCTTGATTTCTGATAATTCTAAAAGAGGCAAGAGTAAGGTTTGAGGGGTTTTGGTTATTCATAATTGAAGAAGAGAATAGTGGTGGTATTAGGTTGTAACGATGTTAGAATCAGCCAACGATTGGTCAGAATATAAACTTTGGATAGTAAATTGATATTTTGAAACTTTTTAGGTGGGAATGTGTCATTAAGACAAACCTTGGGTGGGAAAAAGTCGTTTACTCTAAATCAAACTTTAAAAATCTAAATAAGAACCAAAAAATACTGCAAATAAGTACACTCAAGACATGACACAACACAAAAGAAATATTGATGAACTGGAGAGGAAAAAATAAAATCCGAGCAACTAAACGCCAACACTCCTAACAAAAACACATAAAAAAGTACCCACAATTCTTAGGTGAGAATATGTCTCGCTGGTCAGCTGCAACTGCAAATGTAGAAGAATACAGATGGTGTGATATTATATTATTATTGACTTTGTTGATTCGCTAATTAAAGTCTATTTGAAAAGGTTGAAGTTTAAATTGGACCAAGAACGGAAGGATCGTCTATATATGATTCTGAAACATGGGCCGGGCTTGCTTTGCCGTTGATAAGTAAAATATGGATCATCTAGTCACGAAAAAGATTATTTAATATATAATTTTCTCGCCGGACTTCTAATTATAGTAGTTAACCGCTGTAATTATAAACCAATTAATTACTTCAGTTACTCTTCTACTATATTTTAGCATTTACATATATGGCATGTCTCATCCTGGTGGTGGTGCCAATTTCATCCTCATTGTGTAGTTGTTTCCCTTACACATGTACAATGTTAATGACAAATGCAATGTTTCCTTGTATTTCATCTTGTTGCTGGTGCAGTTTACATTGCACAAATGTCATGAGCTCTCACCTTAATTTATGAAACTGTTGGCTCTTCACTACCTATTGTTTTAGCACTATGTACATGTCAGATTGAATTTTTTTATTTTTCTCAGTTTTCTTCAGTTACTCTGCTCTTTCCATCTTCTTCTTTATTTTGAAGAGACGCTTCTATGTATTCTCGACTGTGCCACTGTTTTCTACAAGTTAATTCTGATTTTGATTAATACAATATTCAAATTCTATATCCGTCCTCTAAACGTACTAAAAGAAGATTAAAATTAATTGGTAATGACCTAATTAGCAATTGTTAATGACTAGTCCTAAGTACCTAGTCATGAGCCACCAATCATGATAAGGCTGACACTGTCCCTTCCAAATATACTTGCAATGGTTAATTTGTGCGGAAGCACTACGATATGAAAACTAGCACTAATTATTAATTAAAAGTTTTAAGAATGTAATTAAAATCATAATAAAATTTCCTTTTTAAGTCTAACAGAAATCAGTGTTGCCAATCTCATCCACAATATACATCAGCGAAATATACAGTATACAGTATTCGTATCAGTAAATTAATGTCCAGGTCTTCAAAGAAATGCGTGCATATTTGTCCCTAGCATAAAATAGAAGGTCATTAATTATTTAACGGGTCAATTCAAATTACGAAACCACATTCTTAAAAGATTAAATAATTTAATTAGTGACCACGAGTATCACTGGTTTTCTAATTCTTTGGTTTGAGAGGAAAAATGATAAAAATGAGATAAACCTGAAAGCACTAACTTTCAAAAGTAAAATGAGGCTGTTTATACGTACAGGGAATCAGCTGGTTTTGAAATACATTCCCCATCTCGGCTCAAGGTTTTGTCTGAAACAGGTTTAAAATATTGTGGTTTAGTGAAGGATAGAGGCTTCAGAAGATTTCTAATATATATGAGGGTGAAATTCACGCGCCGAGAAGATAGATTGGAATAGTTTCAGAGGGAATCCAAAAAAGGCTTCTTTTACTTAACGCTAACAAAGGCAGCCAACTCTACTTCGTCTTAATTCTCTTACTTGTTTACAACAGAATCGGCCTGAAACATTTATGAAACTTCCATGAGAAGAGGCCAGAGCAATCATCATAGGCCAAATTCTGACCCAAATATATACCCTCATTTCGAATTGCATCTCTTTTATGCGATTGTGTATTGACCCCACTTAGTATCATGGAAAATTCGTGCCACTTTAGGTCTAGATAAGTGTTTGGAGTCATTCACAGTTCACTCAGTACAAAAGGCCATGAACCTACCACCCTCTTTACATAAAGCCTTCCATTTCTGTCTTGTCTCTTTCAAACTCTCTCGTTTTCACAGTGAAACCAATCCCTAAACCATGGCAATTATTGAGAATGATGGTTTCTCAAGTCTCCCAGACGAACTTGTCATCTTGATCATCTCCTTCCTTCCCTTTATTGATGCGTTTCGCCTTTGTTTGTTAAGAAAAGAATGGCATAAAAGGGCTCTTTGGTTGCATTGCCCTAACTTCGAACTGTTTGAAGCAGACTTCACGTTTCCAGGTGCCAGGCAATATTCGTTCAATGTTGGAAAAAGAGTCCGTTCCATGGAGTTGAAAAGATTTGGGAAGCTGCGATTTGTAGATTTTCTCAATAAGGCCGTTAATGGTCTAACCTCACCGGCGTTATCCAAATTCAGTTTCCGCATGTTTTATTCCACCCAATACCAAGAAAATGTAGATAAGTGGATCAATGTTGCCTTGGCAAAATATGTGAAGGAGTTAAGTCTAGACTTTTCAGATGGAGACCCCATAGATCCCCAGCCACTGTTGCTCAATGCTCCACAATATGTCTTGCCCAATTTTTTCTATGAAAATGGCAGGTCTATTAGGGTTTTGAACCTAAACTCGTGCGGTTTGGGTTCTTTCAACTTTCAGAACTTTATTGGGCTAAGTAGCTTGACGCTAACAAGGGTGAGGCTTCATTGGGAGGAGATAGCACCTCTACTGGCCGCTTGTCCTCTGTTGGAGAGTTTGTGCTTAGTGGAGTGTTATCGAGTGATTAAGATTGATATGAGTTTCGTGTTATTGAGGCTTAAAAGGTTGATAATCAGGCATTGTGTACCAGTTACTCTTGGGGTGGAGCTTTGCCTTCCAAAACTTCAATATTTTGAGTATGCAGGGAGAATGGTGCTGTTGAATCTGAGCAAATTAGATGAAATACAGGAAGTGGTTTTGGATTATCGTTTGGATTTTTTTTATCCTTATGAGGCTGAGGATATAGTGGCACTTTTTTCTGGTTTTGCTGACGCCAGGATCCTTAAAGTATGCACTTCTGCTCTCAAGGTAAATTTTCTTCCAAATCATATAAATATTCCCTTGCCTCTATATACGGCTTAGATATATTTGTTTATGTTTTCCATTTCACTATATTCATTAATATTTCTATTGCAAAGAATCATTTCTTTTCGACTTGAATTTTGATCACAGAATCCTTGAAGATTTTCCTATTACTTTCTTTAATTAGATATATTTATTTTCTTGGTGTGATTTTGCTTACATACATTGTAGGTGAGTATAAATATTTCTTGACATAGAATTCCAAAACTTGAAAAAATAGATTCACAAATTGAGACACACTTTATTTAATCTTTCTTTTTTCCTCTTTTAATGGAAGATCTTGGAAAACTTCATCCAACATTTGATTTCAGAATTAGAAATCTCTAAATACCTAATGATAAACAACATTTTTTCCTCAAACTAAAAAGTCTAGTATAGGCATTCACATTTTGTTTTCACAAATACATGCATTGATCTATTGATCAACCTTTAAAATCATTATTCATGTATCATAAGTATTTAATGATTAGACATGAGCAGAAATTAAGTTTATTATCATGTAACATATGCAGACAATATACCTTGTTTGGTACACTTTTCAAATCTTATCCTATCCTATTGTAAATAGTAAAAACGTGTTTGTTTTTCTATTTGCGGAATTTGATTCAAAATCCAATTCAAAACATACAATTACCTTTCACAATAAAAGTTTATAAATTAATAAAAACACCCCCACCTACCCAAACCATTGTCGCTCGCCAGCAACCATTGCCAGTGCCAACTGGTGTTGACGCCAGAATAGTGCACGACCGGCCAAATCTAGTTGGTCGTGTGTCATTCTGACGACTGTCAGCCACTGTCCGA